AAAAAAAAAAAAAAAACAGACTAGAAAAGCACCCCATACCTTGCCATCAGTGCAGCAGAGTCCACTTTCTGCACTGCTATTTCTTCTAACCTTCATCTTCTTATTTGCAGCTGCTACTTGTTCCACTTTGTAGTTTTCTTGCAGAGGCCCATTAGTTATATGCGCCATTCCTCTGTTGTCTTGACTAGGGTTATTCAGGATTTTTGTCCATTTCCTTTCTTCTTATATTAGTGGTTTTGTTCTGAAGTCTCTGCTTTAGTACTGATTGGATTCAACCAAGCCGCTCATAATTTAATAAAGAGATTAAGAAATGCCCTATCAAATAAATAATAAAGAGAATAAGAAATGGAATTAGAGGACAGCATCAATATCATGTTCAAGAGCAGGCATCTTCATCTGATGCATAAAAAAGATTTGAAAGGAGTCTAGTATTTCTGTTCACTTTCGTATTTATGTCTGATACATCTCGAAATTAACGTTGACTGAACTTTCTAGCTGAGTGCAGGGCCTTTGTTTAGTCTTTTAACTGGTATAGAGCCTGTAACAGATTTGGGACTGTTCTGGACCAGAATCTATTCCTTCACGAAAAGAGACAGTTAACCGGAATAGACAGTTAAGTTAATGGATAAAAACATTATGACATGTATTTTGCAATATACCTTCACTAAAATGCACTCATCTCTTGCTTGACTTTTAAAAATCTGGCTTCCCTCTTCTCTGAGCTGGGAGAATATGCATGTCTGAAACTTCAATTTTCTTCAGCTACACAAAACAAATTAGAAGGTCCAACCAAGTTTGCCAACTAAACTTCACAACCCCCCAAAAAAAAAAAAATTATATTACAAGTAGAAAGTGCCAAATTGCTGCAATTCGGAGGGTTGTTGAAGAAGCTGTCCTTAACTAGTTCTACTTGACAGTTGACGTTTACATCTTTCTGGATGCATTTCTTCTATGTTTATCATATATACCTTCATCCTAACCATTGAGCCCTAATTGTCTTGAATTTGCTTGATATTACGCATGTTACAAATAGGAAAATTGTTTCTAATGGCTTGGAGCCATTTAACAGTTCCACCCACTATGTTTCTTTGCAGTCTGATAGTGCTGGAGTGGAAATTCCTGAGCTTGAGTTAGAGCTTGCTAGCGGCACTTTGGGTGGAATGGTGACGACAGTTGAGGGTCTAATCACAAAAATTAGCGAAAGTGAGTATCTTCTTTTTCCTTGTTTTCTTATCCCTTTCCTTGTTTCAATTTCTTGGACAACAATATCTGCGAATGCATATTCAGTACATTGAATATTTCAATGAGGCATACTTGTCATTTCAATGAGGCATACTTGTCAAACTCATCCAAGGTCGAGCTTTAGTTGAACGTCTGTGAATCTACAGTCGTCGTTTTTAAGACTCTTTACATGTTTCTGATTTCTTCTTTCATTTATTTTGCATCTGTTAACCTTAAAATTTTTGTGTCAAATGGCATTTGTCTAATCAATATCTTAACTCGTGAAATACTACATGGGCTATTTAATTGTCCTGTTCAATCGTAATGACCTATTCGTTTGTGGTATCTGTATTTGTTTTTTCTTAAATTTCTGTCATTTAAACATCCTCTTGAATGAACTTTTTGTTTTAAATGTAGGTCTTGAGAGAGTACATGGATTCACATTTGGAGACAGTCTTGATGAAGACAGGAAGAGCAAGTGGTTGGATTTCCGAGCAAGACTAGACAAGGTATATCAGATACCTCTTAATTGCTATTTCAGATATTGTTTAAGCTTATCTGTGATTTCTCTACTAAGAATTTCATATCTATTCAAGATTATGAGATGTGAATCACCTGGTTCCGTTCTACGAATTCATTAATGGAAAATAATTTACCAATATTCGACAATTACCTCTAGCTTTTGTCGGAGGAGCTATTTTAGGTGGATGTAACCATTTTTGGTCCATGACTGAAATTTGAAGATACAATTTGTATTTTCAAATACAAGACCTCTTGCAATTTTCCTCTATATAACTCCATTCCAACTTTTTTTATTTAATATATTTTTTGTTTGCATTTCAAACATTCAACAGCTTTTGAGCTTGGGACAACCGTGGACATTGATCATCGACGATGCACTTTCAAATTCTTTTGTTGCACCTGCAACCGATGATATCAAGGATGACAAACAGTTAACATGTAAGTAAGATTTACAGCTCCGGAGTAGTTCATGCAAGACGTGTGTATTGTGAAATTTCGATGGGAAACAAGTATGGCTGGTAAAATTTCATGCTTTTAGCTTAATACATGAGGTCATCTTTCATCTTCGTTCTATCCTACCTATTTGTAAAGTTTATACTGGATTTCGTGTTTTTGGCCGGTAAAAATCAAGCACCCCCCCCCCCC